GCCTATAAAACCAGCTACTCAGGAGGCAGGGATAGGGAAGATCCCAGTTTGGGGCCAGCCAGGTCAAAAAGAAAGCAAGACCTCCAAACTGAGCATGATAGTGCACCCCTATCATCTCAGCTATTCAGGAGGCAAAGGAAAGAGGACCACAGTCTGAGGCTGGCCCAGAAGGAAAATCACAAACCTTCCCAGAAAAATAATTTAAAGCAAAAAGGACTGGAGATTTGGCTTAAGTGGTAGTGTGCTTGGTTAGCACTCTACTGCTTGAGCCACACCTCCAGCCTAGCAAATAGTATCCTTCATGGGGAAATATTCCCGTCATAAAATTGGGAATGAGACCTACAGACTGACTATAATCACTTCTAGTGAACAACTATAATCTCTTCCATGGAATATAGATCTAAAAGTATACCAGGACATTAAGACAAGAAAAATAAATTAAAAAGGAAGTGATTTAGAAAGAATCTAAATGTCATTATTTGTAGTATTACAACTCTAGAAAATTCAAGAAAACACATTAGAAATAGTCTTTTTAGGGGGAGGGTTTTTTTTGGGGGGGGTTGGCAGTACTGGGTGTAGAACTCAGGTCTTATGCTTGCTAGGCAAGCACTGTGCTCTTTGAGTCACACTGCCAGCTCAGAAATAAGAGTTCAAATCACCAAATTTCTAGTTACTAACAGTTGTCAGAAAACAGAACCTTTTAAAAACATTACCATCTATAATAGCAATAAGAACAATGAAAAACATTGGAATCAGCATTGAAAAAGTGAAAGATCTCTATGGATAAAATCGTAAATCTACATTAAAAACCTATATAACTAATTCCCCTCAAAACTGATTCAATCCAATTAAATCTCAAAGGATTTTTGTCTCATAACAAGCTGACTATTAAAGATCAAAGGTCCAAAACAGCTGAGATCCAACACCTTCCCAGATATGAAGACTTTCAGTAAGACTAGTATAAGTAGTTAATACAGTGTGGGTATCAATACAGATCGATAAGGAAAGAAGTGAAACAGAAAGGCAAGCAAGAAACAGACCCACCATCGTCTAGGAACCAAACATGTCAAAGAGAGGTACAGCAGATCACTGGTGAGTAGAGGGCCCGCTCAATATATGGAATAAGAGTAGCTGGATCCACATGGAGGGATGAAATGAATGTGGATCACCCACTCACATCATACATAAAAATCAATTCCAGATGGGTTATGAATATAAATATGAAAAGCATCACTTTAAAATTAGGAACTTCTGTTCATTAAAATACACCTTAAAGAGTGAAAAAGACAGGCTAGAAACCGGAAGATATTTATAATGCATACAATCAACATAAAATCAGTGTTACCAGTTTATCAGTTCTAAAAAACAACTCAGTAGAAAAAAAATGGGTAAAAAGACATGACCATGTATTTCATATAAGGGAAACACAGATGATTCATAAATATATTAAAATATGTTAAACCTTATTAATAATCAAAGAAATGCAAATTTGAGCCACAATGATGCATCATTTCATAACCGTTTCATGGACAAATATTAAGAAGTCTAATGTAAAAGTGTTGGAGAGGTCTCAGATCAACAACTCTTATACACTGCTAATCAAAATAGGTAAGTTGACAAAACTGTTGGCCAAAGTTGGTACAACCACTTCAAAAACAATCCAGAATAACTTCATGAAGTTGAGCATTCATCATACCCTGTAATCCTAAAATTTCTAGAAAACGGCTTACCATGGAGGTAATTCCAACCTATTTTGTGCTCACAAACAACCAAAAATGCTTTTGAAAATTACATACCTTCCAACATGTTACAATAACATCTAAAAATGTTCAGCATTAAGTTTAAATGATTGTAAATGAATTTCTAGAGTATCATAGTGACATTTTAAAATAAAACTGAGATTCTTTCAAATGTATGTTATAATCATTAACATACAAATGATTAAAAAATATATACTCCTAATTACACAGAAAGAGTGAAATTTTATTGGAAATGCATCTTCTGAACAATGAATGGAGGAACTGCCCCAAATAAAAGAATTTTCCCAAAACTACAAACTGCATTTTAGTCCTTTGTTTTCCCATTTGGGGTTGTATCCTATTTCTAGTTTGCCTTCCTTAGGTAAAGTGCTAAGGAAAGGCAGGAATGCTGAACCAGCAGGAGATTCTATCATAGGCCTAGAGCATTACCAATTTTAAACAAAAGCACATACAGAATTTAAAAGTCTAGAAATTCATTCATTAACATCACTTGTACCCACAGACACTTTCAGAAGTCTTTATTACTTCCCTAGGGATCATATACCCTAGAATGAAAACTGGAGAAATTTTTGCAACTCTATACCAGAGATATGTGCCAGTCTTCAAAATAACAAAACTAGAAATGACAAAATGCCCACCAACAGGACAATGCATAAACTGTGTTATATTCTCCCACAGAATATTACACAGCCATGAAAATTTAATGACTTACTTCTATACTCAATATTAGTGACTCAGAAACATAACACTGAATGAAATACGCAATCCCAGAAGATTATACCCAGTATAATTTTTTTCATTCAGAAACAGAAACCATACAATACAGTGTTGAAGGATATATACACGTCTGATAAAATTATTTTTTAATGCAAAGAATAACACACAATTCAGGATAGTCACCTCTACAGGTAAGCACATTCAATATTAGTTATTTTGATTCTTTGGCAGATTCATAGGTGTTCATTTTATTGTCTTGCTTCACAGCTTGCATATATTACATATATTTCGAATATATCAAATATTACATTAAATAGGAAAAGATTTCTTTAAAAACATTCATTCTATGAAAAAAATGCTTGTACTTTAAATCACTTCACCTGCCACTAGACAGGTACATATAACATAGCATGGAAATCCTACCTTTACATCAACCATAGCAACATTAGGTACATAACAAATGTTTGCTGGAATTAATTATAGGAGGACCAAAATTCGATGAAGACTGAAGCAATTAGCTGTGAGAGATGAACCCATACTCTGACACATGGCTACAGCAGAAGCAAAGGTGGCTGCAAGCGAATTCAGCAACAAGCTAAAGTTGTAAGGAAGCTGGTCAGTAAAGAGAAGGCAAAAAATGTAGTCTGTTAGCAAGCATGTGAGGAAACTGGTGTTCTCACTCAATACCAGTGAGAACGGAAACTGTACAACCACTTTGAGAGCTTCTGTAACATCTGGTTAAGTTAAAGATACATATATTCTACTACCCAGCAAAGCTACTACTAGGTGTACTTCCTAAATAAATTTTCAAATGCGTGCACAGGAAATGTATAAACACATTTATTCCAGGACTGGTTTTAAGAGTCACAAATTATAAACAACTTCAAAGTCCATCAATAGAGAAATGTGTAAGTAAATTATGATATATTCATACGATAATTCTATACCAGCAATTAAAGTGAATAAACCAAAGAAAATAGTTATTCAATTTATTCATCTATAAATCCCAAAATGTGATGCTAGTGAAAAAGCAAGTTGCAAAAAGACACATATAATACCACTGAAGTTTATAAATCGACCACACTATAAATTGTTAATTGATTCACTGTGACCAAAGCATAAAATATGTAAGGAAATGATGTACACAAACCTGAACACAGTGGCTATCTCTGGCAGGAGGGGAGAAACTGAGGGTACCTCCAGAACCTTTTCTTTTTTTTTTTTTTAAAGATTTGAAGTAAATTTGGCAAAACAATTATGTCTGAAAAAATCTAAACCATGGATTGGTTACGTCCCCTTCAGTGTTTTATATTCAAAATATTCCAGAAATTAAAAGGAAAACTAGGCAATAGTATGGAAATATAGCAGAACAGAAACAGCCACCAAAAACACAGCGCTTGAGCGCAAAGCACTGACCCTTAAGCAAAGCACTAGTACCTGCATCTCTAAATAAGCTTGAACTTCTGACCCCCAAGTACCCTTCTAATAAATCCCATTTTCCTTAAGATAAAATGTCAATTTCTTGCAATTAAAAAAAAGTCCCAATTAGAGCTGTAAATGAAGAAACTGCTCCTAAAAGAGGAGGAGTAAATCCTGTAAGATTTTTACCTTGTCCCTTTCAAGGATGTTGTGCAGAATCGAAAGAGATTTATACGAAAGCCATAAAACATTCCAGGAGCCATTAAGTGTTATCAAGAACGCAAGGGACGGCTGCAATGGATCTGCCAACTGCAATGGACACGTATTTGGGTAGTAGTTTGCAAATGAGAGCTGGAGTCTAGGGGCTGCACTGGTACCAGCTCGCATCAGCTAAGCCTCCCCGGTTTTCTGGACAGGATGGCTCAAAAGGCCACACTGATGTCGCCAGGCCCGCTTCGGCCTTCCCCAGACTTTTGGGAGAGGGAGGATACTTTAGGGGAGTGTTGGGGGACAGCGGGAGAGGGGAGGGGAGCTGTGGCCCATTCCTGGGGGAAGGAGCTGGCCCTTCCCACCACAAACAGGTGGCCGGATTTAGGGATGGCACAAACACCAGGCACGGGCCGCGAGCGAGCTGGGAATACGAGCCATGACGCATGCGACAAGACCCCCGCGCAGCACACACTCGGGGACACGCGAAGACGCTGCCGGTCGCGACCGCGGGAGGCGCGGCCACGCGCGCTGGGGGCCGCGCACTCCGCGGAGGGGGCAGTGGCACAAAGGGGGAGGGGACACCCGCCCACGCCGCTGCCTGGAGGGGCGAGCACGGAAACAAAGGGGGCCGGGCGGGGATACACGGGCGCGTGCACGCGCGCTCAGGCCGCGGGGACCGCTCGCCCCGCAGGGATGTCACCCACGCACAGCAAGGGGATGCGCACACAAAGGGGCTACACCCACTGTCGCAGAAGTACCCGGGGACAAAGGGGGGACACACCCACTGGGGCAAAGGCGGCCAGACCCCCTCAATGCGCGAGCGCCCCGACCCCCGCAGTTCCCGCGGGCACCTGAGCAAGGGACACGGGGCGACGCGCACACATTCACACTCACCACACACCCACGGAGGGGGTGTGGAGGACCCCACTCCCCGGGCATCTTGGCTGCGGCGGGACAAGATGACACATCGGGAGCCCTGCCGCGCGCTGGGTGTGCACTCACCGGGGCCCGCAGCCCGCGAGCCTCGGACGCGGGCCGCCGCTGCCGCCGCCGCCGCCGCCGCCGCCTCTGGCCCTCCACGTCAGCCCGACCGCGGGAGGGAGCGGGCGGCAGCAGTGACGGCAGACGCGTCACGTGGGCTGGCAGTGCGCATGTGCAGTCGCGCCGCGCCGCCCCCGCCCACCTCTGCGGCGCCAGCTGAACGATCCCGCCAGCCCCCGCGGTCGCGTGCTCCTGCCTATCGAGGGGTCGCCGTGCGCCTGCGCCGGGGCCGGTGGGGCGCCAGCGCGCCTGGGCTTTCTCCTCAATTTTCCCTCTTCCCCCACTGCGGCTCCCCGCCGGCGCTTGCGCAGAGGACTCAACGCGGAGGTGGCCGAATGGCCGGGAGGGGCTCGGGTGGGCATACGCAGGACCAAGGTCGAGGGCCTCCCCCTTTTTTCCTCGCCTCAAAGGGGGAACAGAAGCCTCCAAGAGAGGACAGGGTCTGGGCGCGGGACCCTGGTCTCCGTCCCCCCCGGGAGGCCGAGCTTGTGAGGTTGGAGCGCGCTTGTCCCCTCCCTCCCCTCCCGGCCGCCCTCCTGCGCCCCACCTGCTGCAGGATGCGCGTGCACGCGAGGGGGCGCGTGGGGGCGGCTTTGCACCGCAGTGGCCGTGCCCGTGCCCATAGCAAAAAGATGAGGTTATAATAAACCAATGGGGAGGGGGAGAAGATCACTGACGATGGTTGTGTTCCTTCTCCACAGATTGTCCAAAGCCACAGGGAAAATGGTGGAAAATTCCCCGTCGCCATTGCCAGAAAGAGCGATTTATGGCTTTGTTCTTTTCTTAAGCTCCCAATTTGGCTTCAGTAAGTACTTTCCTGATGAATGGCCAGGGCTTTTTGTGGTGTCCGAGGACCAGGAAGTAATAATGCATTTGCTCTTAGAATGTGCCCACATGAGCTGTTGATTCTTGCTACCTATGTCTCTTTTTAAGAAAGCCCGGAGGGAACTTCTGTTTCTTCAGAGTTCTGTATGCCGCCCCTAGACTAAGAGGCTTCTTCTCAAATATTTATCCAGCTCCAGCTAAGTGAACAAAACCTGCTCCCTGTCCTTAAGGAAGTCATGGCCTTGAGGAGAAAGACAGTAAACCTGCAGTTAGTGCGCAGTTGATGAGTGCCATGGAGCCTAGTGGAGGGACGTTGAAACCAAACTGGGAGCCAGGGTTAGCTGATACCAGAGAACTGTCTCCCTGCGTCTATATCACAGAGAGTAAGTAGGAGGGAAAAAAGAGAAAAGGCCCTGAATGAAGGCATGAGAAGGTTTGGGCTGAGGGTAGAATGGCTCCAGGGTGGCATGCAGAAGCTGGGGAGTAAAGGTAAGTAGGCCAGAAAGTCAGGTTGAAAGATGGGCCCTTTACATACTAGATCTCACTGAATTTCCATAGGGTTCCATTTTACAGTATCACTGAGGAGCTCACATGTCCAGAGTCACACAGCAGACCTCACCTCCTTCCCCTACAGAACTGGCACCTGTGACTCAGGCCTGTAATCCTAACCTCTTGGGAGGCTGAGTTTGGGAGGAGTGCAGTCCAAGTCAGCCCAGGCAACTAGTGTGTGAAACCTCATCTTCAAAATAACCAGAGCAAAATGGACTGGAGGTGTGGCTCAAGTGGTCAAAGTCCTGATTTCTAACCCCAGTCCCACCAAAAAAAAAAAGGGAGAAAATTGAATGTGCCCCATCCAAATTTTGGAACTTGATGGAAAATATTTACCTAGCAGCCTAGCTGTTGCCTAGTAGAGTTTGAGGAATGGAAATGTTACAACAGTTCATATTCTGGCCAATCCACAGACTTGCTGTTTGATTTGGAAACATTTACTTTATTTCTTTGGGCCTTCATGTTCCTCACCTGTAAAGGAGTATTGGAAACCTGGGTTATCAAATGCTTATTGTGTATAAAACAATCCTGTGAGGTAGGTGCTATTACTGTCCTCATTTTAAAGATGAGGTTTAGGTAACTTGTCCATCATCACACAGCTTGTAACTGCCAGAACTGGAATTTGACCATGCACACTGTCCAGTTGTACTGTCTGCCTCTTGTGACTATTACTGACTGGGATGATTTATGTAAAGCTCCTAATGCAAAGGAACAAAAGTATTTAATGTTAATAGCTGTTATTATCATTTTTATAATTTCCTATTCAAAGAATAGTTCAAGGACTAGAAACTACATAAGTAAATAAAAGTGATGGATTTAAGGCTTAAATTCCATAATACCCACAGAAAATAATTACTCAGGAATTTATCAAGTGCTTACTATGGGCCAGCCACTGTTACCAGTGAAGAGCAAACTGCCAAAAATGTCCTGCTTTCATAGTTTTCATTCTTGTGGGAGGGGATAGCCAATGGACAAATTAAAAAAGTAAAACATACCTAATGTCAGATGATAGCATGTACAGGAGGGAGAAATTAATCGAGAAGGAGGAGGATAAGGAGGTCCTTCTAATGTGCCTCTTTGTCATCTTATTACTTTTTCATTATCACTTTAACACAGTGTAGTGAAAAGATCGATTTACTCATCTCTGTTCACCACTAGCTTTGAAACTCAGGGAGGGTAGAAACCACCTCTTCAGGGCTCATCATTGCATTTCACATTCCTGACATAGTTTTTTTGTTTTGTTTTGTTTTTGTATTGGGGGTACATTGTGACATTTACAAAAGTTCTTACAATACACCATAGTTGAATTCACCCCCTCCATCATTCTCCTTTATCCCCCCCATCCCACAACTTAGTTTTGATTTTTTTTTTTTGTTTTTTTTTTCTTGACAAGGCAATTTCTCTTGATCAAGAGGGTGCAAGCATGTGCTCACTCCTGCTAAGCAACACCCAAGCACCTAGTTTTGTTTTTGTTTTTTGCTTTTTTTATTTAGTTTTGTAATATATATTTATCAGAAAAAATCATCATTGATTAGGTAATTTGAAATATGAAATTTGACATATTTCAATGATGATATACCCTTTCTAAGACTCCATTTCCTGTAATCCCAACTACTTGGGAAGTAGAGATCAGAAGGATGTCAGTTTGAGGCTGGTCCAGGCAAAAAAGTTGGGTCTCCACAACAAAAAAGCTGAAATGGAGGTGTGTACCTGTAATCCCAGCTATGCCGGAGGCTTAAGTAGGAGTATTGTGATCTAGGCTGGCCCAGGCAGAAAAAGATGTGAGACTCTACCTGAAAAGTAACTAAAGCAGAAAGGGCTAGGTGCATGGCTAAAGTGGTAGAGCACCTGCCTAGTAAGTGTGAAGCCCTGAGTTCAAACCCCAGTACACTAAAAATACATTTCCTCCTCTATAAAAATTGCATACATATGCCAGGACTGTTTTTTGGTGGTGGTAAAAATGATACCAAAGTTTATTAGGAAAGGAGTACACTTCCATAAACTGAAAGCAAGTGGTCTCTAAGAATGAAAACGACCCTTAGGATTGTTTTGAGGATTTGATAATGCACTAGAATTTTGCTTACCCCACCTTGAGCACTCAGAGCTTAGCTATTGTTATCGCACAGGGACAACTGTAAAGGATGCCACAAAGACTTGGGATTGAGGGAAGGAAGATTGTACTCTGGGAGGTGAAGCAAGAGCTCAACATGCAGCAGATCAGAGCCACATGGATGAATTCCCCTTTAAGCAACTAAATATCTGTAATCGCTTCTACCTTGTGGACATGAAGTACTGAACAGGTAGTATCTAGAAAGCTAATTGCTAGGTGCTGTAAAAATTACAAGAATTGCTAAGGCATGATTTGTGCCCTTGAATTGCTTCAAACATAGAATGAGAGTTCAGGCATTAAAAACTGATAACAAGATAATTGTTGATAAATATTACAAGAAAACTAGGAATGCTGAGGAGGGAAAAATTTCTGAGAATTGGATGCCTCCCAGGAGCTTTTTTGTCGAATCTGGATCTTATTAGGTTGAACCTGGGCCTTACTAACTTCTCTCTCTCTCTCTCTCTCTCTCTCTCTCTCTTTTTTTTCCCCTCTTCTCTAGTACTTTATCTTGTGTGGGCTTTTATTCCTGAATCTTGGCTGAACTCCTTAGGCTTAACCTATTGGCCTCAAAAGTAAGTTTAATGTTTCTTAAATAACATTAAAAGTAATACCGTTTTGAAGGATCATATTTTTCTTTAAGGCTACTCAAGTCTTAAGTAGCTATTCTTTTAGATCCCACAAATAGGCATATAGAAATTTAAAGTTTTTTTTAAAGGTTATTATTAATATACGTCTAATTAAAGACTGGGGTGAGTACACATGTTTATCTCCATTTCCTCTGAGAATCTTGCTAAATTTGTTCCCTCTAAGGGGGAAAAAAAATTTTTAAGGTATAAACCCACTAAAATAAAGAATAGGATATGAAATAAGAGATATCAAAAAAATTGAAAAGTACATTGAGATAGAAGAGTTTCTCCTTTCTCCACATGGCTAGAGAATTAAGAATATTTGTGTCCAGCGGTACACTGGTGGCTCATGCCTATAATACTAGCTACTCAGGAGGCAGAGATCAGGAGGATCACATTTCAAAGCCAGCCCAGGCAAATAGTTCATGAGACCTTATCTTAAAAAACCCTATCACAAAAAATTGGGCTGGTGGAATGGCTCAAGGTGAAGACCCTGAGTTCAAGCCCTAGTACTGCAAAAAAAAGAATATTTGTGTCCAGACATTGGATGTATCACCTCCTTAGCAGGGTAATTCTGGGTTTGTTTAAAGAGCATTAGACCCTCAAACTTTCCTCCCTTACTCATATCTGGGAGACTGATCCTGCCCTCCCCTGCACAAAACAATTTCACCCTGTGGAAAGGCCAAGTGAGAGTCTCTAGCCTGGAGCCCCGAGGTCTGAGTGTGGAAATGAGGCCCCTTACTGAAATCCTGGAATAAGCATCTGTGTGGCCAAATGATAAGATCCACCTCTTGCCCCAACTCCCTCCCTCACTAGCTCCCAGGCTTATACCACCATCTCCTCCAGAAAAAGTTGGGAAGTTCCTTCTTGAGAAAGCTGAGCAGGGTAAAAAACAAGATGTATAACTTTTGATATTTAAAGGCTGTCTCTTAGAGCTCACAGTGCTTCCAGTTAACTCGTTAGCACTTCAGTTTTAATTATGACCAGACTGTCATAAGTTACCAGGCATTTCAAGAAAGCTCCTAACATGAAATACAAAAGGAAAAACAAAAAAAGAACTTGAAGGAAATGGAGATAGAAAATTTTAAAATAACAAGATCCTCAAAGAGATAAAGGATTGATTATAACTTAAAAAAGAACATGCTGTATAAAGGAAATGTTTAAGGAATCACCATATTTGGGGATTGTAAACTTGATATCCAAAATTTAAATTTTAATTGAAAAGTTGAAAGATAAACCAAAGTTTAATCTCTAGAAGGTAGAACAAAAGACAGAAAAATGTTAATAGAGGAAAAAAATAACAGGGCTAAAAATCTATTAGAGGTTCCAAAAATGAAAAACAGTAGGGAGGAAATTATTAAAGAAATAATGTAACCAATAAAACCTGGCACAATAGAGCACTCGATGTGCATAACTATGGAGAGAGAGGGAAATCGAAAGGCAGTCAGAGAATTTGAGGCTGGATGGAGTATTGACAGATAGATGGGAAACCATCCAGTCTAACAAAATGATATAATTACTAGTTCTGGAAAAAATACTGCATAAGAAAACATATAATAATATGCTAATGCAAACATTGCTTGTATAATCACAATAGGTTTCAAAAACTGCTGATAGAACCATATTAGGAAATGTAAACAAAATGTCTGAAATTGAAACAAAAAATCAAGAGAGAATAATATGAGCATGTGGTATGGAAATGAGGAAATAGGACCAGAAGAAACAGCTCAGGTGTTGAAATGGCTCCTTTTGGGAGCATGAGAATTCAGGGTGTCATGGATGGGACAGAGGACTGCAGCTTTCATTATAGCTCTTGTAGAAATAGTTAGCTAATGTGTACATATATTACTTCAATAAAAGTTAAATTTTAATTTTGAGGTATGTTTCGTGACTGACTCCTGAGAGTTCACGCTTGTTAAGATGACTATTATGTATGTTCTCTTCTGCAGATACTGGGCAGTCGCATTGCCTGTGTACCTCCTTATAACTATCGCAATCGGTTACGTGCTCTTACTTGGAGTTAACATGATGAGTACCTCTCCACTCAACTCCATTCACACAATCACAGGTACATCGTTACAAAGAGAAAGTGCTGGTGGAATGGAGGAGGGGTTCATTAGACATTTGTCAGAAAAGCAGTCAAAAACAGGCTGTAATACACACATTGAGACAATAAAAAGAACCTGGGGATATAAATATACAGTTATACAAAAGGAAGCATTTACACGTGAATATGCACTAGGTGCATTCATGGACCAATGGTCAGTTCATGGTCAATCCTTATGGATTTAGCACTAGAAACAGGTATGTTTTCCTGTCAGTATATAAAGTATGTTCCTCAGCAACTCTGCCTAGGTAAACTTCTTTTATCCTAAACAGCCATTGTTGATCAGGGGTTAGAACACAGATATGTGCAGAGCTTGTTCAGGAGGAGGGACTTGGGGGTGTGTCTTCCTCAGGATCACTGAGTATACCTCATCCCAATTAACTGTATAGAAGAGTCAAAACATGGGTTGTGGGGTTTTGTTTTTTTTCTTTTAAAGATCTTCCCTTCCAAGTTTAAAAGTAATTAGACTTCTGAGCTGTCTTAGATTCTAAGAGGTAAAATATTTTTTAAGCTCTCTGGTATGATTTTTCCCACTTCTTTCTAAAACCTTTTTTCATGAGCCTATATAATGTATTTTGAAAAATTAAAAAATTTTTTGCTTTTTTTTTTTTTGGCAATATCGAGTTTTGAACTCAGACCTTGTGCTTGCTAGGCAAGTGGTCTACCACTTGCGTCACACCCACAGCCCTTTTTTGCTTTAGTTATTTTTCAGGTAGAGTCTCTTGTTTTTGCCTGCAGCCAGCCTCCTATACAGCTGGTATTACAAATGAGACCACCATACCCAGCTTCTTTGTTGAGATGGGTTCTCACTAACATTTTGCCCAGGCTGGTCTCAAACAGCCATCCTCCTGGTCTCTACCTCCCCAGTAGCTGAGATTGTAGGCATGAGCCATTCCACCTGTTTCTTAAATTTCTGATAACCTACTATATTTGCCATGTTCTGGACTGGTATTACAGCAGATAGACAATTTGTTCAAAGAAAGAAGCTAATAAGTTTGCTTGAGTATTTGCTCCAAACAATTTAATAGTTTTTATGGTATGATTTAAACATATCTTCCATCCTTATGAGAAACATAAAACAGGACTTTAATCATCATTGTACAGCTGAATGAAATACTGATTTTTTTTCCAAGTCAGAGATGAGCAAAGCCCTTTGCTGATTACATGTTTATTTTAATTGGGACATTTCTTCTAAAGAGCAGACTTAAGTAATCATTTGGTTGTGTTTCACATGGTGTTTGTCATTATCCAATCATCAGCTTGGATGGGGAGAGGGCAGCTGGCGGAGTGGCTCACATGGTAAGAGCACCTGCCTAGCAAGCGTGAGCCCAATGCCACAAAAAAAATATAAATAGATAGATAGATAGATAGATAGATAGATAGATAGATAGATAGATAGATAGAACCAGTCATCAGTCTGGGAAACTGTGTGGCAGGTCTTTATCAGCCACAGAGACCATAGAAGAAATTGCTTGTGTCAGCAGAATTTTCTGTTCTTTTCTTACAGATAACTACGCTAAAAATCAACAGCAGAAGAAATACCAGGAAGAGGCCATCCCAGCACTAAGAGACATCCCTATTAGTGAAGTAAACCAGATGTTCTTTCTTGCAGGCAAAGAACTTTATACCAAATCCTGAGCAGTGTGTGAGCACACGAATACCAGGCGCTAATTGAGTATAAGATTTTGGCCAATATTGTGGACCACAATTATATTGACTGTGTCTCTTATTAATAGCCAGTATTAAGATGTAAAAAAATGAAAGTTTATCTTCTTTCAGATTAAATTCAATTAGTATTATAAATGTTTTTAAATGAGTTATTAATGGACAGAATAAATAAAATACTGCTGTATTACCCTATAGCAGACTTTCTTTTCTGTTCGTTTTTGAGACAGGGTCTCATTGTATAGCTCAAGCTGGTCTCAAGTTCTCAGTCCTACTGCCCCAGCCACTGGGATTACAGGCATGTACAACCGTGTTGGTATAGTTGTCCCCAGAGAAACATTTGTACTATAATTTTCAAAAGGCAATTGTATCTTTCCTTCTTTTTGTCCTGAGGGTCCCAGAATACAAACTCTTCGATTTAGTGGAAGAATACACTTGATATTTGTATCATCAGATTCATGTCTAAAACATAAGTACTTACTCAGGGCTTGCTGTGAACCAAGTGTTTTTCTGGTCACTGGGAGTGACATAGTAAGATTCTTAAGAGTTTATATTTTATTTATGTTTTAAAGAATGTATGTATTGGAAGTTTTGAGGAAAGGAATTACAGGGCCTGGTACATATTTTTTACATCACTCTGGTGGATGGAGAATGGATCCACAGATGTTGTTGGTAATGGGTCAAGATCATAGAAGTGAGGAGAGCGTTAGGAGGCTGTTACACTAGTTCTGGTAAGAAATGATTGCTGTCTAGGCCAGCTTGGAGTAGAGTTGGGGTGGGGTGCACAGCTCTGCCCATTTATTGGAGATACAGCTACATACGGGCATATGGATCTGATCGTGCAGGGCAGGCAGGGCTGACAGAGAAATTGTGATTAGGGGTTATTCCTAGATCTTTTGGATTAAGGTCCTGGGTAGATGGTTATGCCTTTTATTGACAGGGATGATATTTGGGGAAGTACAGAGGAGGAGGTTGGAAGATTCAGTAAGTAAATTCATTCAAAAAGCACTGGCTTAATATCTGCGTGCATCTCATAAAAGGTTAAGAAACTTAGAAATAAATTATTTAAAACTTAGCAAAAGTATGTTCACAGTTAGCCAGTAGGACCAAATCTAACTTTATCTAGCACTCAAGGCCCTCTAAGAACTGTTGATACCCCAAATCTCTATACTGGCTTGGCTGGTCTCCTCTGTAGGGTATGTACATGTGCATATATTTATATACAGGAGTGGAATCAAACGTTTTCACTTAGGCAAATTTAACTATACCCGCTGCAAAAAAAAAGAAAATTTTTAAATAGGAAAACCAAGACTTCCATTTCAGTGATCTTGTATAGTAAGCATATGATAGATGAAGAATCTGCCATTTCTATTCCCTTATTTGTCCCAGGTCTTAATTTTGTATGTCTCCATACTCAAGAATAGGTTAAGGGATCTGGCCAACCTGCCAACTCCATCAAGTATGAAATAGTAAATAAATAATATCTCATCTACAACGGAATACTATATAGCCATACCAACAGAAATTAATTACTGCTATACCTAACAACATGAATGAATATCATAAACAATCAGGAACAAAGGCCAGAAATAAAGGAATATATAGTATAGATTACATTCCTATGAAATTCCAAAATAGGAGAAACTATGGTGGAATTAGAACGATGGTTACCTTTGGAGGAGGGCGTGAGCCAGGGAGAGGCATAAAGGAGCCTGCTAGTGAGTTGGGAATGCCCTACATCTTGATCTAGGTGTACGTTACCTAGGTGTGATATGTATCTTAAGAAAAGCATGTAGTTACATAATTAAGATTCGTGCTCTTAATGTAAGTTACACCATAATAAAAAGGAAAAACTGCCTGTGCCCATCCCCTAGAAATCTTGATTCATTGGTCTGGGGCAGGGCCTGGGCAGGGGTAATTTAAATGTCTCCCAAGTAGTTCTGATATGCAGGCTGGGTCGAGAACTATTGCCTTATCTGCTTGGACTTAACTGAGTCTGTGTTCCAGAGGGGCAATGCTGGCCACTTTCGAAGAGAGCCAGAAGCTGTTCCTCTTCCCATCTTTGTGAGACTCCTATTCATATCAACAGGATTCCCTTGTACTCTTCTAGGACCAGTGATGAGCCTAAGATGGTTTCAAAAAAAGTCAGAATAGACCTTAGTTAATTCTGATGTTGCACTGCACTTCAGCCTCTTTCCATTCACATCTTTGTAGCCCAGAAAGGGTTACACAGTAGCACTGTTTTTCAAACTATGGATCATAATTCTTTTGAGGGTTATGATCAGTTTAGTGCAACCATTCTCTACTAGTTTTTTAATCTCAAGATCTCTATAAACTTATAAGTAGGCTCCTCAAAGACTTGTGCATGTGAGTTATACTTAGAAATTAAAATAGAAATTGTTTTTATAAATAATAAGCCAAATGCTTTTGGTTATAAAATTAGTTTTGCTGGTCATCGCATTCTTACTACGTGATAGGAAATAGCTTCTGTTATATAAATATTTAACCCAGATCATTGCTATCACAACAAGCTGAATCAAAAAAGACAATGAAGTTTAGCATAAATATATTTTTATGAAAATAGCTGTATTTTCAAAAAATGGAGAGTAGAATTACTTTACATTTTTTGCAAATCTCTTTATCGCATGGCTGTGGGAGACAACTGGGTACTCATATCTGCTTCTGTAGTCATCTGTTACATTAGCACACATCACAAAGCCTCTGGAAAATTCCACTGTGTACTCCTGAGAGAATGAGAATGGAGAAAACAAGAAACATCTTAATATTATTTTGAAAACAGTTTTGACCTCACAGACTCCCTGTGACAGGATCTCCAGACCACAGATGTTGAGAACCACTGGCTAGTGGGCCTCTAGTGAGTGTGAGAGTGTGTGTGTGCGTGTGAGAGAGAGAGAGAGAAGACTTAGAGTAGTATAGAATGTATCAGATGCTCTGCTCTTGGTAAGGGTAATGTTTTGACTGGACTACTCTTGTGACCACTTCAGACCCTCTCTGTTCTACCTCTTACTCTAGCTATGGATGCCCCAAATGTTCTGTGCATACTTTGACCAGATCCACACAGCGTACCCTAGAAGGAAGGAGTTAACAACCGCAGGAACTGGAGCCCAGCGTGGGCAGGCAGGTCAGTGGATAAACACATCCCCCTTCATCCTTCAAAGATAATGTTCTGAGCTGTGTTCCATGAGCTCCTCAGGTCCTGTGGGACTGAGCTGCGGTTGCCATGGTGCTGGAGAGCTGAGTCACCAGCCTGTGTTGGCTGACTTGTCTGTTTGCTGTGTTTTGCTCCCTCTGCTACCCACTCCTGCTTCCTGTGGTCACTTTCCCAATAAACTGCCTACACAAAGCCTTTGTCATAGGCTCTGCTTTCAGGAGGACTCTAGCTGTGATGTCTTTATTTTGTAAAGACTATGCATCAGGTGTAAGGCTGTGGTATATATGTATTTCCCCATGCATGTCATAATTTAAGAAAACTGGAAGATACTATGTTTTGCAATGAACCCAAATAATAACATAAAATATTCCAAATAGAAAATGTCAGTAATAGAAAATGGTACAAGTATTAAGAAAAAAATCCTCCAGTGACTAATCCTAGAAAGAATGAAATTAAAACTTCAAATTTGAAATCGCCTAATTGTAGAGCCAGCAGAATTCAACTCCAAAATCCTGCCCTCCATGGTTTTCTGACCTGCTCTGTTTTAGTCCAGAGTATCTCAATCAGACGCCTGGATTTTTCCAAGCAATTGTTGCCTTTGGGCTCTTTAAAGTGGGCGTCACTCCTTAGGCAAATTGACCAGCCCCAAATTCCTTACGTGTCCCACATTTTTAGTCAGAAGAACACCAGTGCAGTGGCTCACTCTTGTAATCCCAGCTACTTGGGAGGTAACAATCAGGAAGTTCACAGTTTAAGGTAAGCCTGGACAAAAAGTTAGCGAGACCCCAGATAAACCAGGTGGTATGCCTCTGTCATCCCCGATAAATATGAGGCATAAATAGGAGGATGCAGTCCCAGACCCATCCCAGACAAAAAGGCAAGACCCTACCCACAAAGTAAAGCAAAAAGGACTGGAAGCATGGCTCTGGTGGTAGAGTTCTTGCCTTGCAACCACAAGGCTCTGAATTCAAACCTCAGTATAGGGGAAAAAAATTTAAAAGATCATATTGAAAGTCCCAAACCCATAGTATTTAGAAAACTCAAATAAATCCTATAGCAAGAGTCCCAGAAGACTCAGCAACCAGAAAAGGAAGGAGACTCTTTTTGATTTGTCTTGACACAGTACAGGTCAAGCTGTGGCAGTTGTCATTCTCAGGCACTCGGTGTGACTCAGTTGAGTTCACTGTGGGACTGTTTACTTGGGGGAGGTGGGAGTTTGCTTACCCACCTTCTCTAGTCAGGATAGCTTACATCACGCTGTGGTAACACACATTTCAGTGGGCAGGAACTTATTTTTCAAAGAACAGTACTTTGAGATAGCTACCAAATCTGAACGGAGCCATGTGGGCAAGGACAGAAAATGTCTCCAGATTATCGGTGTGGACCCATGATCCAAAGGTGGTGGGTCATGGATGGCAGGTGCTCTCTGCCCTCCATGCCTCATCACCACATAAGCTCCAGAGTGCCACGATGCAATGGAAATCCTAGTTAAGGACCAAAGAAGTCACAGAGTCTGAAAATACAGTTAGAGTTCTTGAATGAGTGTGTTTGTAGACCAAGATTTATATGTATGTGACATAGGGGAAGTTATTGTCCCATAAATTTTATATCTGCCACGTACTATTTCTGCAAATCTGGTGTTCCTAAGCCTTGTTTGTGCCAGTTACAGTTACAGGGCACTTCATGGCCAGGGCTGGAAGGCACCAGCCAAAATCTCACAGTGGCTCAGATGTCACTTTTCAACTATGCCATAGTTGGTTGAATGGTTCACTTGCGTCATCAAGCCTGTTTGTGTGGCCCTGGTAATCAGAACAGCTGTGAGTCAGCCTGCACTAGCACATGTCCCAACAGACCCATCTCTCCCTGTGTCTCTTTGGTTTCTGATGCCACCTCTTTTGAGGTGTTCTCGGTAATGCACCATGAGTTGGCATGTCCTAGGGGACACTCAGTCACTCTCCTCACTACCATTCTATGAGATGGTAGCACCTGTCAGGAGTTAAAATCCTGATATTAACTGATAGAACCAGATTCTCCAATGCTGCATAAAGCTGAAGCCTTCTTCCCTAAACTGGACCTGAGGACCGAAGTGAGGAGGGCTGGGTCTGCAGACCTGGAGACACGGTCAACTGTGCATGCTCAGGGTTCTGAGAGGACCAGGGGATAGACAACTCCTGTGCAGTGACCCCTCGGGTAAGCTTATCTCTTCCCGGGAGTGCAGTGTATGGGATCAAGAGAATGACAGTGGCGGCTTTCCCACTATGCCCCCAAGAAGGCAGAAGTGTTTCAGTCACTGAGACAGAAACAGGAGAAAGATGATGGCTCCCTGCAGTGGCCACTCAGGTTTTCTCCTGTTTACCCTAATTAACAATCAGTGCAGCATCTGGTGGTGTACTGGTGAGATAAAATTTTTAAACAAGGCTCCCTTACATTGGAATTATCAGAGGGTCAAAACATTTCTAAGTTGCTGCACACATATTGCCAGACTGATCTCCCGAAGGGTCTGTCGGTGAATCACCCTCCCTGTACCTCACTAACATGTGTGCCTTGGTTCTCAAATTTGGAGTGTCTAAAGTGTCACAATGTTCCGTTTTTCCAAATCTGACTAATTATGTTTTGATTCCCCACTGTTCCTTGTTGACAAAAATTTCAGAATCAGGTCTAGGGTGAGCTTCCTCAGCCTGCCTTGGGTTGTTTATCCAGATTCTATCCAGGACAATGGGAAAGGATACTAGTTTTCAATCCGTGGTGCTTGCAGTCTCTGCCATTGTGCCTTCTCAGACCGCAGGACCCCCTGGTCCACTTCCCTCCTTTTCACCAAGTGCATGAGGCTAGTGCTCACTGTCCATCCACAGCCAGTTGACTACCCCTAGTCAAAGTCCCCACATACTACAGCTGGTTCTCTAAGACTCTGCTCCTCTGTCCAGTCTCAGAACCCAGGCAATGTTGCTAGGCCTGGGCATCCACCCTGCACAGAGGCCTCTGGCATCTCCATGTTCCTTCTTCCCATCTTCCTTTGAAGTAGCTCCCTGACTCTAACTAGGCAGATGGGCCCATAGCATAGTCCTTCTCCCTTGCAGCAGGGCAGTGGGAAGGCAGTTCTTTCTGCATGCATGGAGGGAAGAAGTGCACAGAGCTTTTAGTGTCTTTAAAGTCAGAGCAGGCTCTTCTTTAGCTCTCCTCACTCCTGCTGCCTGGATGTAGTGCCAAATTCTAGATGCCCCCTTGGAGTAGGAGTATCCTAAGGAATAGAAGCTGTGCAACAGCAGCAGAGCAACAAAGATACCCAGATGCTGTCATCTTACCAGCCTGAGACGGCCTGCCTCTGGACTTGGACATGACAGCAATTTGTTTCTGTCTTGTTTCAGCCACTGTTGCTCTGGGTTGTCCAATCACAGTCAAAACGAAGCCTAACTAATACAATTCCCTTTGGTGTTCCAGGCACAAAGCCTGCTGATTGCCAGGAGGAGCCTAGGTGTCTATTCTCAACTTTGAAGTGGCCAGGAACCACATAGGCAGCTGCTGTTCAAATGTAGGTTCCCAGGTCTAGTAAACCTGGAGGACCCTGAACTCTGCATTTTTAACAAGCATCCCTGGAGACTAGGCCCATGTGTTAAGAGACAGTGGGTCTACAAAACCAAAAGCCTGAGTAGAAATGGTGTCCTGGCTTCAAGTCCTCCTTATCTGCAGGAAAAGTTGTTTATTGTCCCCCTTCCATCCCAGCTCCTTGAAGATGTGCATACATGTGCGTGCACACACTGCTGCCCCTCAGCTTCCACCCACCCCCAAAAGGAAACTTCAGTCTGTGCTGGTCTGTGTTGAAGAGAGCAGGAAGAAAAGTACTGTATTTCTTCTGAGATAAATCTGTAGCAATAAAAAATGAGTAAAGAGCCAGGAAGGTGGTTCACTGGGACCAACACTTGTCCCACTTTTGCTAATAAAGAAGTAAAGCAATGGTATGTCATTTTAATTTGCAAATTTAAATACTAATAAAGTTTAATATGTTTATTCAAATAGTGAATAAACGTATTAAAATGACCAACCTCCAAGGAGCAAAGTAAAAAGTGTGGGATTTGGCTTTCTTCAAATCCTAGCTCCACTACTTCCTGGCAGTGGAGGAAAAAAGAAGCGACTTTCTTTGGTAGTACTGGGGTTTGAACTCAGGCCCTCATGCTTGCTAGGCAGGCACTCTACCACTTGAGCCACACACACCCCCAGCACTTTTTTTTTTGCTTTAGTTATTTTCCAAAGAGAGTCATGTGTTTTTGCCTGGGAGGACCTGGACTGCAGTATTCCTACTTAGCCTCCCAAGTTGATGAGCTGACAAGTGTGAGCTCCAGTGTGACCTTTCTTTGCTAGGTTACTTTGCCTCTCTAAGGCTCAGTTTCTTGGTCTGTAAAACCACACTGTTCTTCTAGGCTATCAGGAAACATGCTTGCCAGTAGTGGGCCCTGAAGAAATAGAGACTATTGTTATATCCCAGGCTTTTGCTCACCATGGCCACTGCCCTGGGCCCCTCTTGTGGGAATCAAGGCGTCGGCAGGACTGAGCGCCCTCTAGAGGGCTTGGGAGATAATACCTGCCTTGTCCACTGTCGGGCCGCTGGTTTCTTGACTTGTGACCCCTTTGCTGCAGTGTGTGAGTCACTGTCTTCATTGTTTTCTCTTCTTCAGTGTGCATTATATTTCCCTTGGCCTCTCTCTTATCAGGACACAGTGATTAGATTTAGGGCCTACCTGGCTAATCCATGGTAATTTCCTCCTGTCCATATTTTTAACATAATCACAACTTTAAAAGCCCATTTTCTTCCAGCAGTTAGGGTATGATATCTTTGGGGGCTATTATTCAGCCACTATAATCATTATATATTAAAGTCCAATTTATAATTCATCTCAAAAACAAAAACAAGTATGTGGGGTGGGGGGGTATAGCTCAGTGGGAGAGCATTTGCCTAGCCAGCATGAGGTTCTGGATTTGATCCCCAGCACTACAAAAGGAAGGGAAAGAGGGAGGGAGGGAGGGAGTAAATATTATTTCCTCAAGACTAAGAATGAAAGCCAGTGCTGGAAGACAGAATACTGCGAATACCCTAAACCTAAGAGAAAGGGAGGGAAGGAAAGAAAAAGAGGGCAGTGTGAGTGAGGCAAGCTAGACTTAGGGAAAGTTCAGGACTTTTAAAAACCACACAGCCTGATTTAGAGCACCTCTATCCCCTCTCCCTGACCCATACCTCTAAGAAGAGCTTCATTTCAATTGCAAATCCTTTGTTAAACTAGAGTGAAATTTTCCTTCTGCATGGGCTTAGGGTACCAGAGAATTAACACAAGTGTATGCGTGAGTCTGCCCAGATCCTCCGGCACCAGCCCTGAAGGCCATTGGAGACAGGGTTTTTCTTCCCACCTCCAAGTTAAGGATGATATAAAAATGACCTAAAATGAAATCCTTCTCTTTTTTTTCCTGCACGCCGCACCTCCATTCCACGTGGCAAAGACCCCACCTGTAATCCCCTTACCCCTTTCCTATCATAAAACTTTGTTACTATCCTCACTGGCACCCATGTGTTCTGCTTGGATTCAAGATCTGGTTAGAGTCATCAGTGATTTCAGCATGAGGAAGGAGGGGAAGGGGAGAGAGAAGGAAAAAGGTCAATGTTTTGCCTATAATCTCAAGTTCTTGCTATTGTGCGTTACTCATAAATACACCTGTGTTCTTTGTGTGTGTGGTTCTCTGCAATTGTTCTCAACAGTGTAACTGTGCCCAGTCTTTTGTCGAAACACAAGAGAAGAGACTTATAAGAGTTTCTTATTTATCACTGGGGGGCTAGCACCTGCCCCACTGGCCTCCTTCAGATCCTGCTCCCTCCCTCCCACTTCAGGGCCTACAATACACTTCTATCTCCTCTTCCCCTTCCCCTCTCCCTTCAGACCTTAATTCCTTCTAGATTTTCCTGTTCCCCACTAGTCTGATCCCATGGGCACATCCTTCCCTTTTCTGTGACAGCTCTCACAGCTGTCACTTCACATTTACCCATGTGTGCAAGCTGCACTAGGTCAGGGACCCTGTCTGTCCTATCACATTATCCCTAAGGCCTGGCTCAATGGAGAGCTCTTGATATATACCCGTGGGATAAATGAGTAGCCCAAGTAGAGAGAGCAGTAAAGCGCATCTAAGGGCTCTTCCACCCAATAATGGCTCTAAAAGACTGACATACAGATGGACAGAGGACTTGACATTATTTGGCTGCCTTATCTCTGAAGTTTGAGACCTAAACTGTTCTTCTCTTCAGAATAGCTTTGTGAAGAACCTGGGAGAAGAGAAACCATAGTGCCTGTACAAAGTCAACAGGAGACCTGGCATGGATTTGGTGCCACATCTGCAAATTGAACCTGCCACATGAAGCTGCTAAGCTGCCTGCACAGGCAAGAAGGTGAGTATATTCCCAGGAAGTCCTTTCCACAATGAAAAAAGAAAAATCGCCCTAAATCTCACAGTCCAGGGTTTCTAGGCACAGCCACTTGGGTGGCCGCGACCTTTGTGCAGCTCTCTGTGTGCAGAGAATGCCTATCTCTTTTTTCCTCTGGCCCCCCACCCCATGCTCTTCTTCACCCCTGCTTGGCTATACTAATACACAGGAGCCCCTTCCAGCTTTGCCTCTCTCCTTGGGGAGCAGAGCATGTGTGGTTAAGACATCCAGCTTTGGATCAAGGCAGATTTGCATTCAGTTCTCAAGATTCTGCTTCACCTCCTCTTTTGAGTGTAAGGCCCTAGGAGAAGTCACCTCTATGCCCTTGCGGCCTCATCTGTTAAATGAGACACCTGTCTCTATTATCTCTAGGGAGCTTAGTCTGGGGTCTCACTGCTGCTCCCTGAATCCCCCTCTACAAAAGCATCCTTGGTTGTTGTGTTTGCCTTCACAGGGACCTGATTCATCACCCAGTCCTAGGATGGTTGATGAAAAAGACTCTAATCTGGAATCTTCGGATGTGTTCCAATTAAATCATTATGAAGTTGTAATAAGAAAAGTCTTTGTTAATTGTCACCTCGTAAGGAGTAAATCATGTAAGGACCTAGCTATTTAGCATTATCCATGGAGCTCCTGCAATAACCTTAAATTACTAGAAAGTTATTAGTAGCTGCTTCCCACATTCCTATTTTGATGACACTTTTAAGATGTTTTTCCCTATAGTTACTAAAGTTTATGAAACTAGTCTGATAATGACTTCCGAACAAATTCCCATCATCTTCTCATGGGAAGATTAAATTTGATGTGTTTGAAAGATAAATGAGCTACTACAGGATGAAAAGGCAGTTAGAAACAATGGCCTCTGGCCATGAGGGCGCACGAATTAAAGGACTGTCAACCCAGGGCAGAGATTCTATCAGTGATGAATCTGGCGTTTCCCCTGACTACTGATCTAGTACAATTATGGGAAAAGTACCTAAGGTGACCTGAATGAACAGACAGCCCCAGCCGTTTGTCTAAGTGAAATTTCCAGGCAGCAACTTGAGGCGGTGCTTTTCCATCACTGCTGAATGGCAGTGTACTGCAGAGAGAGATGACCTTTACTTAACCTTGAGAATAGCTCTCCCTCTCCTGGTCAAAACAAGGTGTGCATGCCAACGCCTATTGACAAACCATTTGCAGGAGTCACTGAGTGTTTGGTCTAAGTTGACAATATCTTTGCCTTTTTGAACTTTATTTTTAAAGCTAAATATCTTTCATAGCTCATCTTGGATATTGGTTAGGACCACACACAGGAGCAGATGCATGACAAATTTTAAAGGTAACCTTCATCTGTTTTGTTTTGGAGTTGTTTTTTTTTCACTCAAATATTCATCTAAATGAATACAGAGGAATAACCCAGTTTCATTCTTGCTGGATGACAATCTACTTTCATTCTCTCAGATATTTAGAAAATGTTCATTGCTGTCAGCAGCCCAGCAGATAAGTGGTTCCAAAACAATCCTACATCAAGCCCTGTTTCTAGACTTAACTCCTTCCCTCCCAAATATACCTGTTTGATGATTTGTTCAAAGATCTGAAGTAAACGAAATCAGATCAGATATCCAGCCCTTCAAAGAGAATGGTTTCAGTGAAGTTAAATCCCCAAACTTGCCCTCGTTTTCACCCCTCTGCTCACCCTTATCAGGAGCTTCTTGTCACCAATAAGATTAGTGGTAATTAAACCAATGCACTAAATCAGACAGCTCATGTTGGGTTCATCACCATCATTATGTGAGTCAAATAATTGACGAGATTGAATGGTCCAATGAGGCCCTCAAGCACACACCTTGTGGACAGATAGAATATATCAGAAATATCCTTAATTAAAAATCTATAAGATTTAGGTAAAGGTTATTTCAAGATTATAGAATTTTAAATCTACATTAAGTAATGAATATGGAATAATATCTGATGGTTGGTTTTTAAGACATTTTCATTGTTTGTTAATTAGTATTTATTTTTAAAGTGTCACATATTCACTGTAGAGAATTTTAAAACAATAGAGTATAACAAAAATACTAGAATCACCTGTAGCCCATCTCCCAAAGATGACTACTCTTAATAGTTTTACTCTATATCCTGCTAAGTGTGTGTGTTAACAGAAAAAAGAGACATCACACTATAAACATGATTTTGTGTGCCTTGTTTTTTAAATAGTGTTATGTTATAAACATTTGACAAGTAAATAATACTGTTTTATATGGATACACCATAATTTATATAACAAAGTCCTTATTATTGGACTTTTCAGATGGATTTAAGTTTTCATCTTTTATAAATGTCCTAATAACAAATATTCCTGTATAAAAATTTCTGTCCTTATTTCTGATTATATCCTTAGAAAAAAATTTTAGAAAGGCAAACAGTATAAAATTTTTGGGCCAAACTGCTGGGAAGGTGACCTTAATTTTACACTCCTGCCAGCAAAGGGTGACTAGTTTGTTTGTCAACACCAAGTACTGGTAAATTATTTTTGTTTTAATTTAGTACACATTTTTTAAGGTAGTAGAATGTAGAGAGAAGAAATGCAGTGATCTGGCTATAGATATGAATAAGTTGTTGGGTTTTTTTTTTTTTTTCTTTTTTTTGAAACCAGGGCCTTGTGCTTGCGAGGCAGGTGCTCTACTACTTGAGCCAAGTCTCCAGCCCAATCTACACAAGTTGTTAAAGTCTTCTGTACCATCCTGTTAAAATATATCCATCACAGCCAGGCGCAGTGGCTAATTCCTGTATTCCTAGCTGCTTGGGAGGTGGTGATTGGGAGGCTTATGGTTTGAGGTCAGCCTTGGTAAAAGTTCATGAGCCCTCATCTTAACCAATAAAAGCTGGACACGGTGTACACATCCGTCATCACAGCTACATGGGAAGGGTAAACGGGAGGATTGCAGTAAAGCTGTCTTGTCATAAAAGCAAATTATTTAAAAATTAACTAAAGCAAAAGGGGTGGAGTTGCGGCTCAAGTAATAGAGTTCCTGTCCACCAAACACAAGGCCTGAGTTCAAACTCCAGTATTGCCAAAATAAATAAATAAATATGTCACGTTTATTAAGAGTTAAAAGTAAATGCAGAAATCCTAATTCTTTTTTTTTTTGCAGTACTGGAATTTGAACTCAGGGCCTACACCTTGAGCCACCCTACCAGCCCTTTTTTGTGATAGTTTTTTTTCGAGATAGGGTCTCATGAACTCTTTGCCCAGGCTGGCTTTGAACCAAGATCCTCCTGATTTCTGTCTTCTGAATAGCTAGGATTACAGGCATGAGCCACTGGTGCCTGTCATTCATAATTCTATAAATATGCTAAGATCCTGAATTTTTTCTTTAGGAGATTCACACACTTTAGAAATGTGTGGAGCCTTAAAATGTCATTGTCAAGGGCACGCATTACCACTTGGTTGTTGCAGCCCACAAACGTCAGTGCCTAGAATAAACCAGCTTTTCCATTGGCCTTAACCCTACCCGTTTCTCAGAAAAACTACAAATTCAAATTCCTTTTTCCATTCTTTGGCTTTTTTTCTTTCTCTGGTTGCACAATGTGATGTCTTTGAGGAAATTCTTCATTCAATCACATTCCATCTTGGCATTGCTAAATGTCCAAGGAACACAAAGTTCCTTCCAAAGGGGCTGCATACTAGGCCTCTGCAAGGAAGCTCTCTGAAAAGTACACTTGAGACACCACTTTTGCAAGGTCCTTCTGGATCTGACCTTGACGCAGATGGGTCAGGACAGAGCTGCTTTAGCTTTGCTACCAGAATGAGGCAGGAAGGAGGCATGATGCCACGCGTGACCACACTGTAGTTTTGGTTTTGGTGCTGGTGATCAAACTCGGCTTTATGCTTGTGAAGTGCTCTACAGTAAGCCATACTCCAGCCCTGGGTGTCTTTCACTGCATAAGAACAGTTTCTCAGCCAGGCGCTGGTGGCTCACACCTGTAATCCTAGCTACTCAGGAGGCAGAGATCAGGAGGAAGATGGTAGTTCAAAGCCAGCCTAGGCAAATAGTGCATGAGACCCTATCTCAAAAAAAAAACCATCACAAAAAAGAGCTGGTGGTAGCTCAAGGTGTAGACCCTGACTTCAAACCCCAGTACTGCACACAAAAAAAAAAGTTTCTCCTTGAATCCCGCTGCCTGAGTTTCTCCCCTGTGGGTCAGCCTCTCTGAGTGTCTCCCACAGCTGTCCTACTCCATAGGCAGCAGAGGGAGTCTTTCAGCGTAAGGCAGACCTTACCCACGCCTCTGCTGACAGTCCTTCAGTATCCTGTCCATCCTCATACATCACCTCTGTGGGCTTCAGCTTTCCTCCAGGCTCCCACCACTCTTCTTGCTGCTTCTGTTCAGACTCCACTGGCTTCGTCTCTGCTTAGCCCTCCAGAATCTTGCTCACCACGGGCTCTTTACATAGGCTGCCCACTTGCCCAGAAAGCTCCCTCCTTGGGTCTTTGGCCATCTGTTTCTTCCTCGCCTTTCTGGTCATCAACTATCCCCCTACTCAGGTTTCCCCCTGGTAATTTCCAAATAGCAATTTGTGGTTTAGAGCAGTGCTAGATATAGTTTAAATTTTTTGAAATTCCCGATCCTTTGCCAATCTATATGTATGTAAAATATAACAAAAATGAATTACTAGGAAAAATGAAATTTAAAACATACAAGTAATAGAACGCAGTGGGGGTTTGTTTTTGGTTTTGCGCTTGGTTTTTGGTAGACTCAGTAAGCATGAATTTCTGTCAGATTGCTATAGAAATTCCTGAACAATCTCAACTCTGGCTTCTCATCCTAACCTAGCAGCACACAGGTCTTGGCCTGGCCAAGACCATGGCCCACGTGGCGAGGAGCTTTGATTCCTTTACTCATCCCTACTAGACTGTAAGCCCCATGGGAGAGGTGGCCCGATCTGTTGTATTCATCATTGTGTGCTTAGGGTCTGGAATGGTACCTGGTACACAGTAGGTGTTCAGCACATCCTTAGAGAGTGACTTGAGTGATTAAATAAACAAACAGCCAGG